TATATTTTATTCTTTGAAGTGATCTTATCTTTTTTTAGTAATTTCTGATAACCTTTTCTGATTACCTATGAGCTATTGGGTTTTGGGTTGGTATATATTATTTCTAATATAATGGAATTTACTGTATGTCAAATATGCATTACCATCACCAATGACAATAATGCATCTTTTAGTTATGGTCGTAGTGAAGGTACACCAACTGAAAAAGGATTGCGCATTGATGCACAGGTATGCCAATAATTGAGATATTTTATATGATGTTAATAGTATAATAATAATGCTTTTTTCCATATTTGGAATTATGAGGCTGCATTGGACTATATTAAAGAGGATGAAGTATTTAAAGATACAAAGCTTATAATTTACGGACAATCATTGGGTGGAGCAGTCGCAATTGATTTAGTCTCAAGATATGAAGAACAAGTAGACGCGTTAATTATCGAGAACACATTTTTAAGTGTGGTAAATGTATAGACATTTTCCTTGAAAAAAAAAAAAAAACAAAAAAAAAAATTATTATTATTATTATTAATCATTGATATCTATTAACGTATATTTCATTAAAAAAGCCAAAATTAGTTCCACATCTTGTACCACAGCTTCGTTACCTAACATTTTTGTGTTTTCAAATCTGGCCATCAGATAAATCCATAACAAAGATTAAGCAAACGCCCATTCTATTTTTATCAGGGAAAAAAGATGAGATTATACCACAACAACATATGAAATCGTTATATGAATTAGCAAAACCAACAGGGGGGAAAGAATGGAAAGAATTTAGTAACGGAATGCATAATGACACAACTTTACAACCTGGCTATTTTCAAAATATTGGCTGGTTTATAAGTAAAAATATAAACTTAGATGAATAATTGATAATGATAGAATATTATAAACTAATAATTAATAAACCATACAGTACAAGCAGTGTTATAATTGGACTTTTACTATCAAATTAGTGAAAGGTCTAATAACTTGTTATAATTATGGTTTGTGTAACATATTAAATGTAAGCTTGCTGAAATTAAGACGAACTTACGAGGATATCAAAAGCAGCGGGACGAGAAAATGAAAGAGCGAATACCTTTCGGGATGCAAGGGTCATATATTTTAAATGTTTAATAGTTGTCGATAAATGGTCAGGCATGATATTGTGGCGTGTTTACTGTCTTCGATTGAAACTTTATAATCGTGTAATGCTGTATCACGATATTAATACGTAAAATTTGTCTATTTTCAAACCGAGTACGTGTAAATTTCGGTATAACTTCAATTTCGACATGCATATAGTTTAAGTGTATTCTATGCTTATGCTTATTGTGAAGGACATTGATAGCTGGGCGCTTTCATTGATAGGGATAATCTATTTTAACATTGAAATTTTATTGGAGAAACCCTGGTTACAATTGCTTTGTTAAACGATTTATAGATATGTTTTCTTATCTAGATTCCTATAGCCCTTACATAATTCATACAGATCATCAATCTAAAAAGTTAAAGATAATCGACTTTAGCCTTTTTTATGGAGAGGCTAAAGATGTAGCGGTAGTTCATGGTAGTTTCATGGTTAATTAATGTTATTTTTTGTTTCTTGACTTTATTTTGTGGCTTAGGTCAGTGTTGAAAATTCGGCACAAAAAATTTGTGCATTAAAAAAAAATTTTTGTGCATGCACAAATTCCTGCGCCATCTGTTTGATCAAAATAATTATATACCAATATGTATAAAGAAATAAAAAAATATCACAATAATAAAAAAAAATCATAATAATTATAACGGTAAAAACAAAGGTCTATACTAACATGTATAAAGAAATAAAGTATATCGTAATGATTCAAAAGAATATCATAACAATTATAAAAGAACGTTATAGCTATATATGATTATTACGCAATTTGTGGTTTAATTTTTACAAAAATAAATTCAATTTCTACACTTTGTAGCTTAGATTTAAAATGAAAAATACCAGTAAACATCAAATTAGTAAAGAAATTACCATTCAAGAACTGGATCAAAAAAAATCATGAAATTTAAAACCTCCTTCTTTTTGGTTAAAAGAATAGGAATGGTTAGAATATTGTGAGATTGATGAAACCTTATTAATGTTTTGTAAATAGTGCAAAGAAGCAAAGTATGATAATATCTTTACTCAGAGAACTAGTACCTTTAAAAGAGATATTGTTAAATGTCATAAAGAAAAAGATCGAAAACACCAAAGAGCAAAACAACAATTCAGATCTATATTAACAGATCAGCTATTTGAAAGTGATCTTAAAGTTATTCATCAAATAAAGTGTGTTTATTTTGTGGCAAAAAAACATCTTTCATTTAATATCTATTCTGATTTATGTAGTTTAATTATCAAATGTAATAATATTTCTTTAATACTTTAGTCTCTTAAGTTTTCTATACAAGAATTAAGCGAATCTAACAATTATGGAGATTATTTAAATTCTACTGCAGCTTAAAAGTTTATTGAAGCAATTGTACATATAATCAAAACAAACCTTATTAATAAAATTCAAATATCAAATAATTGAAGTATAATGATCTATAAAAGTATTTCAATAGATGAAAAGCATCTTGTTGTTGCTTTGCAATATTTAGTTTTAATACATCTATAATTCGTTATTTAGGATTAATTAAATTAGAAGATTGTAGAGCTAAGAATATTATAAAAAAATTAGAAATATTTATAACACAAAAAAATTTATCTATTACAAATATTACATATTTTAGAAACGATGGAGCTTCAACAATAACAGGTAAAATATTTTATTAATTACTATTATTATTAATATTTTTTTTTTTTTTTTTCTTTTTTTTACTTTATACAAATGCTATCAGCTAACTTTATTAATTTCATAAATTTCAGAAATGATACATATTGTGAGAGTACAACTAGCCACATATACAATTTTAGGTTGTCTATTTTAAGTAGTCTGCTCGAAGATTCTATACTAGCTACTATATCTGAAATGATAACAAACCTGATAGTGAATATCCTCTCAATATAGCAAAACGAAATCATTACAACATTCGGCAATACAAAC